TCCTAATTTGTGGCTTTCATCATTTAGATAGCCTTAGGTCCAAGATAGCAGCTGAAACTCCAGCCATCACACCTTCATTCCAACAGAAAACAGGAGTTGTGGTAGGGAAATAGAAAAGGATCATCATCCACTATCTAGCCCCACTTAAGAAACCTTTCAAGAAGACTCACCCAATTTTTCATATCATTGGTTGAAATTTACTCACATGGCCACATCTAGCTGCAAAGGAAGTAGAAATGTGAACTTTTAGCTGAGCACCTTGCCACATCAAATAAAGTCTTGTTGTGTTGCTAAGGAATAAAAATTATTGTGTAGCAACTGTCTATCTACCAAAAACTATCATTAAAGCATTACCAACACCTATGTGCCAATATAATTATCTTAATGAATAACTTTTGAATAATTATTTTTCTGGAATTCATTATATTACTGTTCCCATTATTAATATAAAATGTAAGAGTTAACTCCTTCATTGGCACATCCCTAAATAAAGGTCACCATACTAACCTAGCCTATTCTGAAAACACATAACAGATACATTGAAGCTTTATGATAAAGCGGTTGCTGTGGAGCAGCACTGGTGAAAGGGTTAATCTGTTTTGGATCCCAACCATGAGGTTATGATTCTCAGGCAGCTGCAAAGAGTAGTTTAGGCTGGAAGTGAAGGGGCTTTAATTATCCTGTAATCTCACTGAGCATCCCTGCCCTCTCGCCCTGCCTGCCAATTTGCTATGAATGCCTTTCTTGAATTTATTTTTAAAAATCCAGCAGAACAGAATAAAACAAACAAACCCTGGCATGCAAGCCCAGTTTACAGTCCCCCTTGCACCATCTTCCCACCAGATTGCAGATTCTGGCCCTAAATTTATTTAATATGGAAAGTCTAGAGTTGCCTGTGTTGTGATTGCAGAAATACATAAAGGACATAGAAGGCGGTCCCTCTTTGCGGATCAGTATGAGAGAATATCTCCTGTACATGCTATTTAAACGTTAGGGGAGGTTTTTAGGTGTTAATTCGCATCACTAGCAAAGACAGAGAAACAGAGAAAAAGAAAGAGAGCAATATGTTCAAAGTAATTTGCAAATATTCCTATTAGGCATTTAAACCATCCTACCCCACATGAGATGTTAGAGATAATGAGAAAGAGATTCAAGATGCTGTTGCTAAGGCACTTTTCCAGTCCAGCATGGAAATCTCACTATAAATAATACATCAAAAAGCTGGTTGCTTTGTGCTTTCCTGCACTTTGATTCCAATATGCATCCTTATCATTATTAACAGCTCTTTTGAACTAAAGTGTTCCCTGTTTCTTTCATTGGAAAGTATGTATCATTTATTAACATTACTTCAGTATAGATTCTACTTGGGAAAATAATAAAGAAATATCATTTGCTTGAACTATTCCTTAAACCAGACTCTTTGTTCTGTTTTCTCAAGCACCGAGTCCAATAGGAATGAAAGAATTTTCTCTTATATATTCCACTTTGTGAAAAGTTTTAGCAATCTTGTAAGGTGCTTATTGTGAATTGTCGAGGGTTATAATTACATGCATATAATAAAAGTTAATATCAGTCAGTGTATGTTACTTAATTATTGATCCTCATTTTTTATAATCCAAAGGGTTATTTTTCTTATTTAATGCTTTATAAATCTAAGGATGTGTTACATAAAACACAGCAGTTCACAGGGCCCAGTGATATTGTGGTTTTATGAACCTATATAAGAAATCAACTTTGGATTGTTGCTTTTGAGGTTGGAAATTCAATCTAACTCCACTTGCACTGTTTTAAGGGACTTATTATTTCGAAACAAACTGTATTATAAAGAATTGTGTTAGCCTTAATTCTAACAAAATATGAAGCCCAACATACATTGAGCATATCATATATGTTAGAGCTTCATAAAGTCATATCTCACTTGATTTTCATGACAAACATGAGACTTGGGTATATAACAAGAGAGAAAATGGAAACTGGCTAAATAATGTTCTTCATGGTCATACAACTTCTATGTGTTTTTAAAAAATTTACAGTAGGGTTTCTTCTCTAGGAAAATCTAATGCAAAAAGTGCAGCTCTTTATAATTACCTCATCAAGTAAAGAAGAAATGAATCTAACAAAAAGGTTTCAATTCAGAGAAGAAACAAGATGGATGGATGAATTTTTTTTATAGTTTCATGTGTACATGCACTATACACAAACATGTATTCTGCTTACATTAATGTGACACACATCATAGTCTCTTCTATTGTAAAAATATTTTATGGAGGGTGTGATTTTAAAATGTCATTCTTTGGCATTTGACCACACAGAAGATCTAGGTCAGAAGATCTAAACTGCATTTCAAAGGTCAAATCTGACTTGCAGTTACAGTCCTCTTGTTTTGTTTTCCTACATAATTGAAATAGAGATTTTACATAAAATCCCAGTTCCAACATCACTTGCAAATTATAAGGTTGGCATCTTGCACTTAAATTCCCACAGAGCATCAGCCAGCTAGAGTTGAGCAGTAGAGGCTATTTTTTTTTTTTTTTTTTTGAGACAGGGTCTATTGCCCAGGCTGGAGTGCAGTGGGGCGATCACGGCTCATTGCAGCCTCTACCTCCTGAGCTCAAGTGATCCCATCTCAGCCTCCTGACAGCTGGGACTAGAGGGGCAAGCCACCCCACCTGGTCTAGTAGAAGCTCCTTTTAGATAGATCCTGTGTTCCCTCTCATTGTCACAGTCTCCATTTATTAGCTGCAATCAATTATGTTATTTAACTGCCACTATAAGCATTTGTGTTTTGTGACCACCATCATTGGTTCTAATTATTAGCTCTAACAAATTATAAAAAGTAGGAATTCTATGCCTGTTTCCCACACCCAAGATTCATCTCCCCTCCTGTGATAATTGCCTTTCACTCATGGGCAGTGTGTATTGGGTAAACCCGCCAGCTTGGCCAAGGATGATTTGACATAAGCCATGCAGCAGCATTCACACGCTTTCTCTTAGGAACTTTAAACTTGGATTTAGAAGAGCTATTTAATCTCTGCATGCAGCTACAACCCTGTCAATTTGGAAAGTGTAGGGTAGCCGTATTCAGCCATTTTGACTGCACAAGTAGAAAGAGCCTATTTGGGAAAAAAGAAGAGAAAAGCAGAGGTGATAACCACATTGTCAAGATCCATAAGATTCTCCAATAGCCTCATAATAAACCCTCTTATCTGCATACATCGTCTAAAAATGGTTTGCTTCTTACAGACATTTGTCTCAGCCTTGAAACCTACTGATTTCCCCATGCTATGGTTCAATTTCTAAACCTTTTGAGTTAAAAAACAAAACCTGGTATTTTGTTCAGCCCGTCACACAGCATTACGTTGGTACTTAAATAGTCTATTATATATTCTTTGAAAACTGTAAACTACCATACAAATCTAAAGTATTATTCTCATGACAGATCTGGCAACTGTTCACTAAATGGAGACACAATAGATGAAGAAAAGTGGGAAAATATTTGTGGCTATAGCAGAGCAAAGCACCAAGACCCTTGCAGCTTTTAAGGTAAACTACTGTACTGGCAGTAAATTAGCACTTTCTGGTGGCTATTGGGGTGTTCCCAACCTAAATGGACATCCCTCTTCTTCAAGAGTGAGCATACAGTGGTCTTTCCCAAGCATGAATATGGAAGAATTATATTTTTGTCATCAGTACTTCTTAGGAAGGCCAATCTTCTTAAGCAACTTCCCTGAGGCACCAGGATGTGAATCAGTCAAAACACTGCAAGTGAACAATGCAATTTTCTCTCGGCTCAGCAATGTAGTCAAAACTGGCAAATCAGGGTGAACCATTGTGTCAGAAAGAATTTGGTTAGAATGAAACTCCTCCCTACATTTCTTAAATCCATACAAGTCATAAAACTCAGATTAAATTTCGTTTATTCCTGAATATGAGGATATGTCTGAAAAACAGAACTCAGATAACAGGGAATAGAACATAACCTTGTTTCCTGTGATCCTTGTAACGAAAAACAATTGCAGGCCTGTTAATCATTCATTAAAAAGACATTGTATAGTATTTGAACACTGATTAACTTGCCCTTATATTATTGACCTGAATAAATTATTTGTTCATTGGCAGATTACAATTTTGTGTGTCACTTCAAGGCCCCCAAAATAAGAACTAGCTTCCCACGTAGTAGCAGAAGAGAAGCAGTACCAAAAAAACAAAACCCCTCAAAAACTAGCAGTACCAAAAAAAAAAAAAAAAACCCTCAAAAGCTAACATTACCTTTCAGAGGGAAACGTTTTTAAAAGCAGGATTGGAAAAGATTTTTAAGTAATATCTGCTCTTACCTTACAAATCTGTCCAAGTGAATTTTGAATAATTATTGGATTAAATAATAAACTGCCAAGCTAAAGCAAAGCAGTATTTAAAATGATATAATCGACCACAGAGGAATACTCAAATCAGCTAATCTCTCTCTTAGTGGCTGTCTCCTTTTGGACTGAAGAGATAGATAGGCTGGGTCTCTAAATGTGTCCAGCTGAAAAGAAAAGTTAACAGTCTGAGATTAACTCAATTTAAAGTCGTGGAAAAATTTGATGAGAGACAGTTTATAGTATATTCATTCTTTTAAAACAATGGAGCAAGGAGAAGGCTTTTCTTACACTAAATGGTATCGATTATAGAAAGAGTAAACCAAGAAAGATAGTGTGCACATCTTTTTTAAGCTGAAAAATGCCTGTTTGATAGAATGATCATTTCCGTTTTTGAGCATCCCTTTGCTTGAGGTAGCAAATGGCGCGTCGGCGGGGTCGCCAGAGGGCAGACGTCGGAGCACTGAGATCTTTCGGTTCTGTGGCATTTTCCCCCAGGAGAAGCCGGAGAGGCCGCAGCAAGAGCGGAGCCAAAACCCTAGGCAGAGAACTAGGGTCGCCAGGCCGGGGGTTGGACAGGAGCAGATCGGCTGAGGCGCTCCCTCACGCAGTCAGCCTCTCGGGGCGGGGCGGCCGCGGGTCGCGGTCGGATGACGCGCCGGGGCGGGCGGAGGAGCAGCCACTTCCTGGAGCTGCCGGCCGGGGCTGTTCGCTGCACTCAGCGCCGGAGCCGGGAGCCAGCTGCCGCCGCCATGTCCCACCAGACCGGCATCCAAGGTAACGGCGCCCGGCGCGACCCGCAGGGAAGGGGCTCCCCAGAGGCTCGGGAGAGCCGGGAGGGCTGCAGGGCGGACAGCGCTGGAGTCGGACCCGGAGCTCCGGGAGTCTGCCTCGCGGGGCGAGCCGGGCCTCTGCTTCTCCGTGCTCCTGCTTCCCTGGCGCTCCCGGCCTGCGTCCTCTTCCAGCCCGGGCCCTGCCGCTGCCACGTTGCAGATGGATCCGAAATTCGGAGGAGCAAAGGAAATTGGATTTCGAGGTGGCCTGGTTGAAAGGGGCGTGCCCTCCACCGTCCCCGACATTAGTTCAACTTTCCCCCTTTTGGTCAGGTAGGGAAGAGCTGGGACAATGAAGGCGACTGCGGTTCCCCTACGCTGGCGATAGCCAGGCGAGTTTTCCTTTTCATGGTCCAGAAGAGAATGTTACGGGACTTTGATTACAAAAAGAAACATGCCAGAATTTTTCTCACATCAGTAGGAGTGCCTCCCAAAACTCTCCCGCATTTTCTCCCCAAATAGGAAAGTGAATTATGTTCTGAGAAATCCCGGGTGTGGCGTGTGTTTTGATCTTTAGGTACTTCCCAAGAGAAACTGAAATCCCGATCTGTATGGTTGCACGTAATCATCGCATGCAGACAGTTGAACGTGCAGTTATATCTGACCTCCATTATTTCCTGGTTTGAAATTGGGCAGTCTAGAAGTGCTCACCTCATCAAGAGTCAAATAATATATCCCCGGGGTACTAGCGATCACTCAACAAGTTCTATTATAAAGTCAAGCTGCTTCTGTCAATTTCAGGTTCTCCCAGATGAACACTTAATTGCATGTTTTATTCTTAAAGATTTTTGATACGACCCCACACATCCCCCTGCACGCATGCACTCACAAAAGCAAAGTAGCCTCAAATCTGAAAGCATTGTTTTATTTATCCATATTAATTTCGATATATAAATATGTAGTTACTGACTTTCATGCTTGAGCCTTCTAGCAAGCACTACCTACTTAAATAGTGGTTTCTTGCTGTTATAGACAACACAGGAATGAAATTAGAACGAAACTGAAGCTTCACTGGAACACAAGGGTTAGTTATTAAATATATATTTATTCAATGAGTTTAATCTAGCTTTTGAGAAATCCAAGTTAGAAAAATACAACCTGAAGTAAGTAAGATTGAATGCATTTCATTGGCTTTTCCTTAGTCAAATTAGGATAGTTGATATATACTGTTGTTTTTAACGGGAAAATAAAGTGAATTGATGAAGAAGGTGGCTATCATAAGCTTGAAACTGAATTAGAGAATGAAAGCAGGTTTTCAGTATTTTTCCAAAGAGCCATAAAAGTTTTTCAGAATTGTAACTTGCTCATTATTGGGTTTGAGTAACTTCAGTACATTCATCCCAGTGTTATTTCTGCTACAAAATTATGTAGCTAAAATAGATTCAAATTATTAGCATACTTTTAAAATGTTTATATTTCTTAATTGTATACAGTCTTCGTTATTTTATGCCATTAGTTTTATAATACTGATAATAAGGATGCTACATGCTCTAGAATTTTTTTGTATTCTAAATAATTTTTTCCCATATAGATAGCAAAGAAAAGTATTCATATGTAAGTATAAAAAGTTTACTTTCTTTATCTTTTTTCACAGCAAGTGAAGATGTTAAAGAGATCTTTGCCAGAGCCAGAAATGGAAAGTACAGACTTCTGAAAATATCTATTGAAAATGGTTAGTTAAATATTTTAAAATATTTTTTGTTCCTGGATTAGTGGCTGTTGTATTTTTAAACTTACTGTGTGTTGTGAGTGATTTGACTATTAATTAATGTGAAACAAGTTCAAATCTTACCTTACGGTAACTTGGATTCCTCATATCTTGTGCAGGTCCCTATGGGCCGCTGATTTCATTCTCAATTCTGTGACTATCAGGGAAATAGAAAGATGTTTTTTGATGTGACTTCTTCCTCTTTTACTTTTTGTGTCTCAGTTTCTGCACCACAGTCCATTTCTAATGTCAGTGCTTCCATCTCTGGAATGGAAATCAGTAAACAGGTGATTATCAAAAACAATAGTTACTTGTGAATTATTGAATAAAGTTTGTTTTGAAATAGAAACAAAGGATTTCAAACTCCCATTTTCTCCATTTGATTGCAACCTTTGCTACAGAAATGATCATTATCCTTTCTTGTTTTGGGAAAGTTCTGAGACTATAACAAACTACAAATTGATTCTTTAAAAATAATTCTTTAAGCAGGGAATCTGGTTGAGTGGTAGAATTTTTTAAGTCAGGCAGATCTGAATTTGAACAATTTCTGTTACAGCTACTCAATCCCAAAGAATATGTTAAAATATCCCAGTGGCCTAACTTCTTAAGTATCCGGAAATATTTTGCTTTGGAAAAGTAATTTGTTCTTTCACAAACTGGAATTAAATCTAATTGATTTTCTGGTTTTTGCTTATATATTAAAACCAGAATAGTTTATAAAATATGCATTTGTTTACAAATAACATTCAATAGGAATATAGTATATTGTAAAGCAGCATATTTTAAAAATACTGAGCCAAAACTTTAAATGTCATCACTTCCTAAGTGACTAGTTAAGGAATTAAAATGGAAAAGTTAATCTAGCATCTCTACAGAAGGAAAATGCCACTATTTCCTAAATTATTATTTTCTAGTTTTACTTGTTTTGTGAAAATTTTTAAATAAGGAAAATTGAAAGACTAAAATCATATCATAAATACCTATATCTCCCCTTTATTAATAACTGATAACATTTTATCATTTACTTCAAGCATTTTAGAAAATTCAGTGTTCTTCTGGTATAAGAGCATCCCCTTTAAACAATTTTACTTCTGATCTCCTTCCCCTGTGGCAACTACAATTAGGAGTTTTGATATTTGTGCAATCTCTTTTTATATGTATCCCTAAATAGGGTATACTGCTCTTTGAGTTCACATAAACTGCATGATACCATCTTATTCTATATCTTTCCTTTTGTTACATTTGCAATTAGTTTTGATAGCTCAATAATTCATTTTAAATCTGAACAGAATGTTACATGACTATGCCACATACTGTTTTTCCAGCCTCTTCTTGATGAACATTGAGGCTATTTCCAGTCTTCACTGTTACTGTATAGTACTGCAGTGAACACCTTTGTACTTAAATATAAGAGATTCTGTATGCAAAGTAGATTCACAATTTTACTTGATTCTGTTGAATAGCATTTCAAAGTGGCTATACCATCTAGGCAAATGTTTAATTCTGGAGCATTATGGCCAAATAGGAGTTAAACCTGTTTTAATATTTCTTACTGTACAATTTAGTGTTAATTTCAGAGATTATACTTTCGAATGGTAGTTTAAATATATTTTGTGGATAACTTAAGCACAGACATTTTGGAAAATAGAAATGTAACCACCCATTATTTGATCATTTAATTCAACTATTATGATCAATTTTATATGTTTCTTAGGCTGTGTATATTTAAAAATTTTAGCCGTGTTCCTAAAATGTTATCTGTTTTTATAATGCTTTATATCATAATTATTTTCTATGTTGCCACATTTTTTCTTTTCAACTTTTTGATGCGAATAATAATAACTGTGAAATGACTATCATTTTATTTTTCTAGTCTTCATCACACTACCACTTGGTTTTTCAAACCATTTACCTATCTTTCTAAAAATAATTTTTCATAGAGCAACTTGTGATTGGATCATATAGTCAGCCTTCAGATTCCTGGGATAAGGATTATGATTCCTTTGTTTTACCCCTGTTGGAAGACAAACAACCGTGCTATATATTATTCAGGTTAGATTCTCAGAATGCCCAGGGCTATGAATGGATATTCATTGCATGGTCTCCAGATCATTCTCATGTAAGTAACTTTTTTGTAGTTTGTTTGACATTAAATGCTAGAAAGATGTTTTTGAAATTTCTAGGCCAAATAAAGGTTAAAAAGCAGCAGTCATTTCCCATAGAAGGGAATGATCATAAGGAAAATCCTTGGATTGATAATATGGAATCAGGAATCATGTACTCAGATTCAGGAGTTTTGCCCTTGAAATCAAAATAATTATTACTCATTTAAAATTTAAAAATTTGTGGCAGTGGCAATTTTTAAAAATTATTATTAAGGCAAGTCTCACTCCTGGCTCACTGTAACCTCTGCCTCCCAGGCGCAAGTTATTCTCCTGCCTCAGCATCCTGAGTAGCTGGGATTACTGGCATGTGCCACCACACCCAGCTAATTTTTATATTTTTAGTAGAAACAGGGTTTCACTCTGTTGCCCAGGCTGGTCTTGAACTCATGGCCTTAAGTGATCCACCCACCTCGGCCTCCCAAAGTGCTGGGATTACAGGCATCAGCCACTGTGTCCAGCCTAATTTGTGGCAGTTTTAAAAATGACTCCATGCAAACGGATTGGCCCTGAGAGTAATAATTATAATAAATCTGAGAACTAGTTGAATATAATATTAAATTTTTTTTAGTATTATCACATATTTATTAGTCACTACCATTCAAGTGATGGGCCTACATACAAAAGCAAGCATTTTAGGAAAGTTGGTGGTAGATTGACTAAATGGAAAAATGGACAAAATTAATATATGAACACAGCCCAATATTTAAAAAATTAATTTGAATTTTTCTTATTAAAAAATGATGGTTTTTAAAGTTATCTACATATTGTTCTCAAAAGATCATCCTATTCCTCTTTAACTCCACATGTTCTGTCTGAGAGAAATACTGGATTTGACCCTGCGGGATTATGAAATTATTTGTTAATTGGTAGTTATCTTTAGTAGCTTTCCATAGTTTCCAGTAGATGCTTTAATAATAGTATATATTACATTTTTTTTCCATCCTTATGTCCCTCCTAGGATGGTATATGCCATCGGTAAGCCATGAATTTTCTTAGCAACTTAATTCGTTAATACCTGATACAGCTTTGAGAAGAATATCACTATCAAAATTACTTCATTTCAGTTTTCCTCACATTTTAATTTTTTATTCTTGAACTCATGAGTTTGAAAAATGAAGAATTAAAAAAATATATATTTTTTTAACTTAAAAAAAAAATGTGGCTGGGCTCAGTGGCTCACACCTGTAATCCCAGCACTTTGGGAGGCTGAGGTGGGTGGATCACCAGAGGTTAGGAGTTCGAGACCAGCCTGACCAACATGGTGAAACCTGTCTCTACTAAAAATACAAAAAATTAGCCAGGCATGGTGGTGCATACCTGTAATCCCAGCTACTCTGAGGCAGCAGAATCGTTTGTATGACTCTTCTGCCTCAGGCAGAGGTTGCAGTGAGTCGAGATCATGCTATTGTACTCCAGTCTGGGCAAAAAGAGCGAAACTGTGTCTCAAAAAAAAAAAGTGACATTGTAAATTAAAGGCTGTCTTAATAGCCATTGATAGTTTAGATGCCCATGTTATGATGGTTATTTGTACACAGGTACTTTAGCATATTATAGTCAGTGGACTTATGCTTAGTTTTGTTTTTAATATGTTTCAGAATTTTAATATATTCAGAATGTGCTTTCTTTTGTAATCGTATGTTTTTGCCTATAAACTTCTAAGTAGACTTTCACAACCAAATAGGTTCGTCAAAAAATGTTGTATGCAGCAACAAGAGCAACTCTGAAAAAGGAATTTGGAGGTGGCCACATTAAAGATGAAGTATTTGGAACAGTAAAGGTATTATAGTTTTATGTGGACTCTGTATGTTGCAATTAAAATGATTAAAAACGAGAACTCCTAGGTAATAGGTAATTGATATGAATTCAGATGGATATTCTGAAAACATGGAAATAAGAAATATTTCATATGATATAAAAGCTAGCTGTAATGAATATGTAACTGAGTTTATTGATTTGCATCTATTTGACATTGACAATAATTGATATTAAAACATACTGATTCTTTTAAAGTATTTATATGGTAAATATATGTATTTATACATATATATACAAATTGAAATATATTTTTGAACTTTTTTTGTTTGTTTAGAGCTTTTCTGATTCAGAAAGTCATATAATCTAGTGGATAGGGCACAAGACTATATGGGAGTATATTGCTTCTTCATCAATTGTGAAGTAGGCCGGTTTCTTGGTTTCATGAGTCTCAGTCTTCTAAACCACAAAATTTTGATGCTAGGTAGATCTCTTTGTAGTATTTTTTTCCTTTGATATGAAAATTTTAATATATGAATAATTATAAAGAAATTATGTAAATCATTATAACATAGTATTCAGAATCTGAATATGTTGATTATTAGTTGCTGATTATTATATTATGTTGATTATTAGATAATCATAGGGCAATTGATTATTAATTATAGGGCAGTTTTTTTTTTTTTTTTTTAGATAATCATAGGGCAGTTGATTATTAGATAATCACAGGGCAGTTTTCCCAAGAAGTTAGTTACAGTTGTCTTATAGACTTAAAGGATGACCAGGCTAAGTATTTCACTTTACTAGTAGCAAACTCATACAAAAGATTTAGTAATTATAAAACTTCAGGAAGTGAACAGTAGGTACTCCCCTACTGTTTAAAGTTTTGAAACTTAAAGTTTAAAAAGTTTTGAAACTTAAAATTAAGGATTAAAGAAAAGTAAAAAGATACTGAAATTCATAATGCTATTTACTTTCATTTAAAGTCTTTTCTGTTAATGATTTTTTTTTTCCTCAAGTAACTTCACTCTAGTTTTACTTCTAGAGAATTATTGATTATAGTCCATTCTGTACTTTTAGGAAGATGTATCATTGCATGGATATAAAAAATATTTGCTGTCACAATCTTCCCCTGCCCCACTGACTGCAGCTGAGGAAGAATTACGACAGATTAAAATCAATGAGGTAAGTTACAGCTTCAAAGCCTTTGCAAGATTTTAAGTGTTTGAAAATAACATATTTTTAATTAATAGATGTGGAGGTAACTAGAGATTAAAGTTAGGTAGCTAGGTTTATTCTGTTTAGTTTAGAGATAAGGCTATGTGCTTAATGTGTTTTCAGAAAAGAAAAGTTAAACATGAATATTAAACTTTATATACATTTTATAAATAGCTTTTCCTGTAATCTCCTGTCGGAATAATAAATCTTCCTGTTGAAGTACAGCCGTTGATAACTTTGTACTTTGAATATTATATAGAGAAAAAGCGTGTGTTACCCATTTAGTGCAAAGAATATATCTAATAAGGTTGCGTGAAGCAGGGTATTGTTTTGTTGGCTTTCTAGAGATTTCTAAGTTAATTTCTACAAATTAACTTCTATGAACACTACTTGAATAGAGAGATATATGGAAGATTATTATTTGAGTACTTGAGCGTATTAGAGTAAATAAATTTCAGCCATATTATTTTGTAGTTTACCATTATCTTTAATGTGTTTTCTGCAGCTATTCTAATATACTGGAATAACTACTGTATTTCTATTAGGACTTTAAAGAAAAGAATAAGTGGCCAAAACCACTATTCATTAGCCTGAGTCAAAGACTAATAGGAATCAGTCTGGTGAATGGTTATTATTTAATATTAAACTGGTAGCAAAGATCTGTCATATTTTAATTCATATTATTTGAGTAGGGCTTTTTATGTGATTTTTTTTTTTTTACAAGTTTGATAGTTTGTTTTATTTCTTGCAATCAGAACCCAGAGGATCATATTGGGGTATGCATTCGCATATGTTCTATGATGTTTTCATTAACTAGTATCATTTATGCTGTAGAATCTCCATTCATTTTTTTCTAAAAGTAAAATTTCTATTGGACTTTCTGTTGCAACACGGCAAATGAGACCCTATACTAGCTATCATTTATCAAGTGCAAAAATCTTAAACGTGCATTGAATGCTTTCTTGAAATATCTTTCTCTTCTTTCAATACATGCACACTATGTTCTTAGTAAAGAAATCTCTTAAGTCTGGAACTTCTGCAGTAGTATAACTTGTTGAGCTGTGTTATGTCTTTGTACACCGTTTGTATTCCTTTCAATTCAGTGCATGGTGTTTGTGTTGCATTTTCTGTCCAACAGAACAAAGTTCTATACATATTGTATGTAGACTGTTGTTTATAAATTCTGTCAAGTAAAATTTTATAATTAATGGTGTAATTTGATGACACTCTAAAGAGCTTGTGTAGCTCATTGAAATTGTGCCAAACCAAACATAAAAACAAACAAAACCCCCCAAACCTCACTAACACTGTACACTCATTCAAATGTTCACCTCCAACATTGTCATAAAGATGTGTCATGCAGTCTGCATGTTGACAAAATCCTAGCAGGACCATGAACAAATGTGAAAAATAATTTTAATTATAGGTTGGGCTAGGTTTGAATATTATTTTATAGAGATTGGGTTTTCGTATTTTTGTCATATGATACTGCTAACTGCTAAACTTTACCAGTAAATTAAATCTGTCATACTTAGGTACAGACTGACGTGGGTGTGGACACAAAGCATCAAACACTACAAGGAGTAGCATTTCCTATTTCTCGAGAAGCCTTTCAGGCTTTGGAAAAGTTGAATAACAGACAGCTCAACTATGTGCAGTTGGTAAGAGATGCATAATGAGTATTAAATGGCTGCTCTTTTTGGTAGTTTATGGCTTATATAGGGTTTATTTTTCATAGATTTTAAGTTTTAAATGTGCTTTCTGATTTTTAAAATTCATTTTGTAAATATTCATTGTAAAAAATTCAGACAGTCCAGAACTAAGTTCCTCTTTTATTTCTTAGTCTTTTTTTTTAAATATGTTTTAACTTAATTTCCTTATATCTGGTTTTAATGAATGTATTTTATTGTTTCTTATTCGTAGGAAATAGACATAAAAAATGAAATTATAATTTTGGCCAACACAACAAATACAGAACTAAAAGATTTGCCAAAGAGGATTCCCAAGGATTCAGCTCGTTACCATTTCTTTCTATATAAACATTCCCATGAAGGAGACTATTTAGAGTCCATAGGTATATGATACAATGTTTTTAACATGTTACTTTGAGTTTTTTTATTGGTATGTCAGCCCTGTATTTGTATATATTTCTTGCCCAGAGGGCTTAGCTATAGTTTTATGAAGTTTTTATGTACTTGCTTTAACTGATATGCTGCTAATTATATTTGTTATTATTTGAACTTACAGTTTTTATTTATTCAATGCCCGGATACACATGCAGTATAAGAGAACGGATGCTGTATTCGAGCTGCAAGAGCCCCCTGCTGGAAATTGTAGAAAGACAACTACAAATGGATGTAATTAGAAAGGTAGCCCACCTATTTTGAAATCTTCAGTTTTTGCTAGATTTTTCATTTCTATGTAGTTTATGATGCATTGTGATTTATAAATGAAAATACTTATTTTGCTTGTTATCCTAAATCCTTAGGATCTCCTCTAAGTGCCTGGGGATTACCTGTCATGATCCCTATCTCTCTATATATCTGTACTCTCTAGTAAGCCACATGTGGCTATTTAAGTTTAAATAAGATTTAAAGTTATGTTTCTTAACTCCACTAACCTGATGTTAAATGCTCATTAGCTAAATGTGGCTATGGCTACTGAATTGGATAGTGCAGAATTTATAGGACATTTCCATCAGTGCAAAAAGTCCTATTGGACAGTGCTGCCGGAGCTACAGGTTTGCGATTATTTCTGGACTCCATATTAATAAGGAATTATAGTCTCCCTTATGACTGCGAATTATGGGATAGTTGGGAATCTTTCCAGTTTGGGGGAAGGGAGGAATAAACATAAACATTTGAATTTTGGGAAGTAAGCTAACAATTTTCTTAATACAGATAAGGCATGGGAAAAGATGATTCTTGAGCCCTTAAACTCATAAAAATACAGGTCCTTAAAAACTACCAGTGTTTTTAGATTCTGAACCCTTCATGCTTTTTAAGTTCCTAAGAATCAATCACTCTAGCATGAATAGCACCTTCTATAGCAGGGATCAGGTGACTTTCTCTGCCAAGAACCAAATAGTAAGTAAAGGCTTTGCCAGGCCACATATAATCTCTGTCACATATTCTTACTGTTGTTAACAACCCTTAAAAAATGTAAAACAATCTTACCTTGGGCAGGATTTGGCCTTCGGCCCATGGTTTGTTTCTCTCTCTTCTGGAAGGATTTCAAGTGACCCAAGTGATAAAAGGGCCATGAGTAAGTGTTTCTTGAATAAATCGTGTATCAAAGCAACTTGAGAATATAATGGTGGCTTCTATTTTTAAACGCTATATTTAAATTGGAGCAGTAAGAAAGAAGGAAGTGAATGTAGCTGATTATATATTCAAGTAACTCATTTAGCCCCTTCTCCCAAAAGAAGAAAGTGAAACTGTTTACATATGACCCTTGATTCTGCCTTACTGGAATGAGTATTATGTATTTGTTTGTGAGCATTCATATACATGAAAACCAGCTTGTTGCTTGTATTAGGTTTTGAATGTTGTGCTTCTAATTTTATCTTTTACAGATCGAGATAGACAATGGGGATGAGTTAACTGCAGACTTCCTTTATGAAGAAGTACATCCCAAGCAGCATGCACACAAGCAAAGTTTTGCAAAACCAAAAGGTCCTGCAGGAAAAAGAGGAATTCGTAGACTGATTAGGGGCCCAGCAGAAACTGAAGCTACTACTGATTAAGGTCATCACATTAAACATTGCAATACTAGTTTTTTAAAAGTCCAGCTTTTAGTACAGGAGAACTGAAATCATTCCATGTTGATATATAGTAGGGAAAAAATTGTACTTTTTGGAAAATAGCACTTTTCACTTCTGTGTGTTTTTAAAATTAATGTTATAGAAGACTCATGATTTCTATTTTTGAGTTAAAGCTAGAAAAGGGGTTCAACATAATGTTTAATTTTGTCACACTGTTTTCATAGTGTTGATTCCACACTTTCACATACTTCTTAAAATTTTATACAGCTGGGCCAGTTCTAGACAGTCTGATGTCTTGAAGGATAAACTTAGTACTTTCTTGTGAGACAGAAAGACCTTAAAATACTCATATTACTTTAGTGTGCCTCGGAAAAGGCCAGAAGTTGCTTACTCTGAGTAGCTGTGCTAACTCTTGTCAGACTGTAGGATCATGTCTGCAACTTTTAGAAATAGTGCTTTATATTGCAGCAGCCTTTTATATTTGACATTTTTTTAATAGCATTAACATTGCAGATCAGCTCACTCTGAAACTTTAAGGGTACCAGATATTTTCTATACTACAGGATTTCTGATGACATTGAAGGACTAAACAGCCTTAGTAAATTATCTTTCTAATGCTCTGTATGGCCAAACCTTTATGTTCAGATTGAAATTTAAATTAATATCATTCAAAAGGAAAAAAATGTTGAGTTTTTATAGGCAAATTGTGTTCTTTATTACTTCTGAGCAAATACTCAGATTTAAAATTAAAGTCCCAGTACTTAACAGGCTAACACAGATAAACACCTTAATAATCTCCTTTCAATTAATACTGTATTTCAAAACATGTTTAACTGTTTTCTAATGCTTTGCATTTTCAGTTAAAACCTAGATAGATTTTGAGCCTCGTATTTCTCTGATACTTGAAATAGAGGGATCAAGAACACTTCACGGTTAATCTGTTAAACCTGCTGCAAGAGCCATAACTTTGAGGCATTTTCTAAATGAACTGTGGGGATCCAGGATTTGTAATTTCTTGATCTAAACTTTATGCTGCGTAAATCAAATATCAGAAATGCACATTTCATAGTGTGAAGCACTCATTTCTAAACCTTATTATCTAAGGTAATATATGCACCTTTCAGAAATTTGTGTTCAAGTAAGTAAAGCATATTAGAATAATTATGGGTTGACAGATTTTTAAAATAGAATTTAGAGTATTTGTGTGGGGTTTTGTTTGTTTACAAATAATCAGACTATAATATTTAAACATGCAAAGGAACTGACAATAATGTTGCACTTGTTTACTAAAGATGTAAGTTGTTCCATGGGTGCACATGTAGACTGACACACAGACACCCAAATTATTGCATTAAGAATCCTGGAGCTGTGTTGCAGACCATAGCTAAAGCTGTTATTTTCAGTCAGGAAGACTACCTGTCATGAAGGTATAAAATAATTTAGAAGTGAATGTTTTTTCTGTACCATCTATGTGCAATTATACTCTAAATTCTACACTACATTAAAGTAAATGGACATTCCAGAATATAGATGTGATTATAGTCTTAAACTAATTATTATTAAACCAATGATTGCTGAAAATCAGTGATGCATTTGTTATAGAGTATAACTCATTGTTTACAGTATGTTTTAGGTGGCATTATCATAACTAGATGGTGAATAACATATTCCCAATAAATTTATATAGCAGTGAAGAATTACATGCCTTCTGGTGGACATTTTATAAGTGCATTTTATATCACAATAAAATTTTTTCTCTTTAAGTTGTGTACTGTTGCTTTTTCTATTATAATTTTTTTAAATGTTTGTATAATTTTGCATAATTCAGTACCTGATGATAGGTTAGAAATTCCATTCATTTATTTGTTAATTAGTCTGCCTAAGTCCAAAAAGGATTTTAAGTAGCTTCAAACCTAGGCAAGAATAGTCAGGACTATAGGGTACTTAATTTAAAATTTTGCCCATGTTGGAGCAATAATAAAAATGCCATGAGTTAATTCATTTTCTGTGATAGAAGCACCCCAGCACCAATTTACTTGACACTAAGCTCTTCAGAGACTTGCTGTTAATTCATTTGAAAAATGTTGAATGCACTCCTGTGTGCAATTTGCTATCAAATCCTTTTTGTTAGAGATGCAACAAAATGGATGTCATTTTTGTAGCAGTTTTACAAAACATGCAGAAATAGCTTTAGAAAGGCTCATTGTTAAAACTTTTAAACATTAGCTAAGACATTTCTACTCAGAACTAAACTAATTTGTCTGAGGTACGTACTTTAAATAGTTTGATGTATATCCTTTCACATTTTCTTTGCATATATGACCATATATTGGAATGATGGAATGTTCTTTTTTAAAATACGAATTCTGGGCTTCATACTAGATTTTGACCCAGTAGGTGGATCCAGGAATCAAATAGTTCCATAAATGATTCATGGCTAGCCATGACTGGGAACAGTTTGCCTTAAATTATATAAATTGCAGCTCTTCCCCACCCCAATTCAGCCAACAAACAAGTTTTGCAGTGTACTAGTTATGATAGTGGCAATATCTCGTAGAAGAAAGTTTAGATCTTACTGTTGCCCAGTAGCTCTCTACCTTCCTTATCAGTCTGCTTCACTTCACTTGCAGCTTTCTTTTCCTCTGGTAGAAGAAGCATAGCCTCAAGAAGCACATCACTCTAACCCCATATCTACATGCCTTCCTCACAGGTCTCTCTGTTCAAGTGTCACTGTCATCTCCTTAGAGAGGTCTCCCCTAATTTCCCTATTTGCTTGTATGCCTTGTTCCTCTCACCTTAATCCTGCTTTATTCCTCCTCATGGCACTTAGGCATTCTATATCTGTGCATATATTGTCTCCCCCACTAAAACACAAGTTCAATGGGGGCAAGAAACTTAGCTTCATTCACTGCTACATTCTTAGCACCTAGAAGTTTCTATGACATGGGCATTTTTCAATTTGTTGAATGAATAAATGAATTTACCTTTCCTTGAAAAGCAGACATGAAAGGAGCACGTGCCAGCAGTGGTGGGTCACCAGAGGATCTACCCTCCATCACTCTATTTCTGGCCACAGCAAAACTCACTAACACTGGCAAAATCTGCCCTGCAATGGCCATGGGTTCCACCACACAAAGTGCTGCTGTAGATTCATTCCTGAGCATCAAGTGCCTTTCAGTAGGGATCATCATTCAGCTGATTCTGTGCTTCAAAAAGACTGAGACCAGCCTCTACTCAAATGTCAGTGCTGCTCCACTACCACCCTCATTTGCTAGGATTTAGACAGGTTGTAGTTTCTTAGTGAACTCTGGATGGTTAATGGGGAAGGGGCAAACCATGAATGGGGGTGAGATTGTATTTCTTGGTTTTCTAATACCAAGCTGTATTAATAAGACAAGCTGGGCCATTTCCTTGTGTGTGTGTATTCATGACTGCCATTTACTGGCTACGTGACTAAATTAGTCATGATTTAGTCATACTAATGCATAACAAATGGTCCATTCAAAAATCGTGACTCCAGAGAGATCCAAGATGGCCGATTAGGAGCAGCTCAGGATTGCAGCTCCGAGTGAAAGTGCAGAGGGTGAGTGGACGCTGCATTTCCAGGTGGATTTTTGTTGCCCACGGACCAGGAGATACCCAGGTGGAGGAACCCCAAGGGTGGCCAGCGTGACTCTTTTGGCCGGTGCAATTGTTTTGCCGATGCCCTGGTGCAGCGGTTCTCAGCACAAAATACACGGGAATGTGTGCCCTTTTGGCTGGCAATTGGAGCTCCAGGAAGGCAAAGTTGTCCATTCAGCTGACTAAAAAGGGGACTGAAACAGGGAGCCAGACCAGGAGATCCCCAGGCAAAAAAGGGCCACAAATCTCAATGCCGCTATTTCAGCCGGTGCTGTGGGTCACCGCACGGGAAATCCCACAGATCCCGGTAACTTTTCAACAGGCGACTGGACCACCTGGGAGAGAGTCGACTGTTCAACTGAAAAAAAAAAAAAGGGCTCTGAGACAGGGAGCCAGGTGATCAGGCTTGGCTGGTCCCATCCCCACAAAAAAATAGCAATTGGAAATGCTGTGGGTTGAGAGTTTCACAGCAAGCACAGCTGAACCTGGGAAGGTTCAACTCCGTGGGGGATGGGCATCCGCCATTACCGAAGCACTCCACCACTATGGAGGTAGGCTGCCTCCTTGCTGGGCAGGGCAGCCTTGAAAAAAAAAAAAGGCAGCAACACTATGGAAACTCATAAATAAAGCCCTAACTCCCTGGGACTGAGCACCTGGGGAAAAAAAAAAGGGGGTTTATGAGTTCTGCCGCAGCAAACTTAAACATACCTGCCCAGCAGCTCTGAATGAACAATGGAGTTCACAGCTCAGCACTTGAGCTCCTATAAAGGACAGACTGTCTCCTCGAGCAGCTCCCTGACCCCTGTACACCCAAAGAATCACCTCATAAAGGAGAGCTCAGACTGACATTTGGCGGGTATCCTTCTGGGACAAAGATAGCAGAAGAAGAAACTGGTAGCAACCCTTACAGTTCTACAGCTACTGCAGGTGATCCCCAGGCAAGCAGGGCCTGGAGTGGACCTCAGCAGTCCTACAGCAGAGGGGCCAGACTGTTAGAAGGAAAACTAAGAAACAGAAATAACTTCATCATCAACAAACTGGATGTCCACTCAGAGACCCAATCTGAAAGTCAGCAACAAAGACGACAGGTGGATAAATCCACAAAGATGGGAAGAAACCAGTGCAAAAAGGCTGAAAACACCTGAAACCAGAATGCCTCTCCTCCTACAAGTGATCACAACTCCTCACCAGCAAGGGACCAAGGGCTGATGGAGAATGAGTGTGATGAATTGACAGAATCAGGCTTCAGAAGGTGGATAACAAGAAACTTCTGTGAGCTAAAAGAACATGTTCTAACCCAATGCAAAGAAACTAAGAACACCTTGAAAAAAGATTTGATGAAATACTAACGAGGATAGACAATTTAGAGAGGAATATAAGTGAATTGATGGAGCTGAAAAACACAACACAAGAACTTTGTGAAGTATGCACAAGTTTTAACAGTCAAATTGACCAAGCAGAAGAAAGGATATCAGAGGTTGAAGATCAACTCAATGAAACAAAATGAGAAGGCAAGATTAGAGAAAATAGGGTAAAAAGGAATGAACAAATTTTCTGCAAGAAATATGGGACTATGTGAAAAGACCTAATCTATGTTTGATAGGTGTACCTGAATGTGATGAAGAGAATGAATCCAAGCTGGAAAATACTCTTCAGGATATTATCCAGGAAAACTACCCCAATCTAGTGAGGCAGGACAATATTCAAGTCCAGGTAATACAGAGAACACCACAAAGATATTCCTCAAGAAGAGCAACCCCAAGGCACATAATTGTCAGATTCACCAGGGTTGAAGTGAAGGAGAAAATGCTAAGGGCAGCCAGAGAATAAGGTCAGGTTACTCACAAAGGGAAGCCCATCAGACTCACAGCAGATCTCTCAGCAGAAACCCTACAAGCCAGAAGAGAGTGGGGGCCAATATTCAACATCCTTAAAGAAAAGAACTTTCAACCCAGAATTTCATATCCAGCCAAACTAAGTTTCATAAGTGAAGAAAAAATAAAATCCTTTGTGAACAAGCACTCAGAGATTTCATCACCACTAGGCCTGCTTTACAAGAGCTCCTGAAAGAAGCACTACACATAGAAAGGAACAACCAGTATCAGCCACTCCAAAAACATACCAAAAGGTAAAGAGCATCAACATAATGAAGAATCTGCATTAACTAAAGGGCAAAACAGCCAGCTAGCATTAAATGGCAGTATCAAATTCACACATAACAATATTAACCCTAAATTTAAATGGACTAAATGCCCCAATCAAAAGACACAGACAGGCAAATTGGATAAAAGGCCAAAACCCATCGATGTGCTGTATCCAGGAAACCCATCTCACATCCAAGGTTACACAAAGGCTCAAAATAAAGGGATGGAGGAAGATTTATGAACCAAATGGAGAGGGGAAAAAAAAAAAAAAAGCAGGAGTTGTAATTCTCATCTCTGATCAAATAGACTTTAAAGCAATAAAGATCGGGCCGGGCGCAGTGGCTCACGCCTGTAATCCCAGCACTTTGGGAGGCCGAGGCAGGTGGATCACAAGGTCAAGAGATCGAGACCATCCTGGTCAACATGGTGAAACCCCGTCTCTACTAAAAATACAAAAAATCAGCTGGGCATGGTGGCACGTGCCTGTAATCCCAGCTACTCATGAGGCTGAGGCAGGAGAATTGCCTGAACCCAGGAGGCGGAGGCTGTGGTGAACCGAGATCGCGCCATTGCACTCCAGCCTGGGTAACAAGAGCGAAACTCCGTCTCAAAAAAAAAAAAAACAAAAAAACAATAAAGATCAAAAGACACAAAGAAGGACATTACATAATGGCAAAATGATTAATGCAACAAGAAAGGCTAACGATCCTAAATAAATATGCACCCAATACAGGAGCACCCAGATACATAAGGCAAGTTCTTAATGACTTACAGAGACTTAGACTCCCACACAATAATAGTGGGAGACTTTAACACCCCACTGTCGATATTAGACAGATCAACAAGACAGAAAATCAACAAGGATATCCAGGACTTGAACTCAGACCTGGAACAAGCAAACCTAATAGACATTTACAGAACTCTCCACCCCAAAGCCATAGAATATATATTCTTCTCAGTACTACATCACAGCTACTCTATAAGTGACCACATAATTG